TAATATTTTATTTTATTTAGGCGAGTCAAGAGGACCCACTACCTAGGTCGTGGATTAGGCACACCAGTGTGGTTCGTAGTTAAAAAGTGGGTTTAATACTAGTTAATATTTTATTTCATTTAGGCGAGCTAGGGGGATCCACTACCCAGGTCGTGAACTAGACACATCAGTGTGGTTCGTAGATTTTAGAAATCTGTATCGCCTCCGCTAGTCCCATCTCTGCGCACGTGAGAGTCCCAAGACCTCTTTTTGATTCAAAGGTTAGATAACACTAGTATATATATATATATATATATATATATATATATATATATATATATATATATATATTCAAATATATTTGGATATTTAGTTGATGTGAGATTAAATTTCCACATAAAAAATACTTTTTTAGTTAAAATATTTTAACTTTCACAAACCATGAAGGAAGGTCGTTATCAAGGCACTGGCATAAGCCATACCAGTTTATGCCACGACTATTTTTCAAGTTCCCAAAGTCATTACGTTAACAACTAATTGTTACTATTAATGCTCCGTTTAATATGATGAAAAAATTGAAGGATGAAAAATTAAAAAATTAGAAGAATATATAAAATATTATGTCTAATAAGGAAGGAAAATAAGAAAGATGAAAAAGTGGATAAATTAACTTTTTTTTCAACTCATCAAAATCAATCCCTTCAAATTCAGAAGGAAAGTGGATAAAAAGTTAATTATTTGTATTGAGATATATCTTATTTGTCTATATATCTTTTTATATATATATATATTATGTATATATTAATTTCATATAAAAATACAATGATAAAATATGTATTAATTTCATATAAAAATACAATGATAAAATATGTATTAATTTCATATAAAAATACAATGATAAAATATGTATATATATATATATATATATATATATATATTTAAAAATTTTAAAAATAAATTTAAAAATTAAAAATAAAAAAAATAAAATTTTAAATTTTAAATTAAAAAAATATTTTTTCTATATTAACTAGGGAACACAAATATGACACGAAAATAAGCAGGTCAACTCGTAATTCGACACGACACAATTAGTTAAAAGAGTTGAATATGTGTGACTAATATTCAACACAAACTTATAATGACTCAACACAAATTTGACACGACACAATTCAATTATCACTCCTAATCCTAGTCAGAACAAAAAAAAGAAAAAATTAGTTATTTTTATTTTCTATTTATCTAATCAAATACAAAAGAAAAAAAATGTATCATTCTTACTTTTCTTTTTTAAAGGGTAGAAAATATATTTTTTTACTTTCCATCGTTTTTACCAAGATAATAAAAAGTATTGGTGGAATAAAGCTTCCGGAGAAAGGGGAATTCATTGGAAAGGTTGGGATCTGCTAATAAAAAGTAAAAAGGATGGTTTTTAACAAGGCACTGAAAGCCAAACAACTTCGGAGATTTCTAAGAAATCCATATTCACCCTGGGTCAAAGTTCTTCGGGACAAGTATTGCAAGGGAAAATCAATATGAGAAGTAAATCCAAAAGCAACAAACTCATGGATCAGGAAGAGCTTGCTGGAAGGGAAGGAGACACTTCAAAAGGGTTGTATTTGGAAAGTGGGGGGGGGGGGGAAAATAGCATCAAATGCTGGGAAGATCCTTGGGTTTCGGGTTACCAAAGGATTCCTAACTTAAACCTAGGGGTTTATTCAATTACCCCACAAAAGATGGAATGCTGCTTTGGTCCGATAAAATTTTGCACTGAAAATCTCTAAAGAAATTCTTGCTATTCCACTTGGTGAAACACAACAATAGGATGATATAAGATGGGCTCATACTAGATCAGGATATTACTCAGTTAAAAGTGGCTACCACCTACTGCAACAGTCCCACTCCAATAGCCAGTCAAACTCGACAGCCAGCTCCTCTTTCCAGATTCCTAAAGCACTATGTGGCAGAAATCCCTCTTGCAAATCAATGTAGACAGATACAAGATTACAAGGATTGAAACATTGTTGATGCAACAGATGGAAGAATTTGCAAGGATGGAAAACACCTCACAACCTAGCCAACCGATGCTTGCATATCTCATTTTGGTTCATTTGAAAGGCATGCAATGAGTGGATATACTAGCATCACCCACCAAATTGGAAAAAAAGTGGTCAATCAAGCACTCATAGGCCATAGCCAATGAAGATTCACAAGAAGTTGGAGAGGAGACTGGTAACTAATCAACTCAACCTCAAACGGAGGTGGAATGGACTACCCCTCTAATGGTGTGGATAAAAATCAATTGTGATGGGACTTTTTAGAGAAGAGCAGAAAAGCTTCATATCCAGTGGTGATGCGAAATCATGACGGGCAGCTTATTGATGGGGCATCGGCAAGTATGATGGCCTCTTCACCGTTGGTAACTGAAGCTAGTGCAATAAGGAGAGCATGTAGAATGGCTTTGGAACAGGGGCACCCAACACTGATCATTGAATCAGACTGTAAGAGCCTCATTGATTCTCTCAACCAGGGCTTAGCTACACCTATAAGGAAAGTTGAAGTAATACAACACGATATCTGCCACTATGCACAACAGCTTACTGAACTTAAGTTCTGCCCTGTGAGAAAATCTTGCAACTCATTGACACACATGGTGGTGACTTCACAGACTAGGCAAGGAACTCTCCCACTGAACTAGATAAAGGCCAGGTTAGGTATTGGATAAAGTATATCACAAAATTTGTATTTCCAACTTGTATTTACAGCTTTATTAACGAAAGATTATATTCTGACCAAAAAAAAAAACTATAGTATGTCATATACCCATGTAATCAATCTACATCCGACTAATTAATTATCACTCATTTAATTTTTTTTTAAATATCTTATTTTTAGTACTTCATGTAATATAATTCTTATACTATATCCCAAGTGATAAGGTAAGAAAATAAAAACGAACTGAAATGAACGCAAAATTCAAGTATCGAACGAGTCCGTCTAGTATGTTGTATATATATAGAAAAATCATATTGATATGAAGTGATGTCTTGTCAAATTGGGTAGCCTTAACTACTAAGAAACGGATGTAAGATCTCAATATTATTGTGAAAGAATAAATTAGAAAGTGAATATCAATTGTATATTATTTTAGTATAATCTTCTGTATACATGAGAAATTTTATTTATAATAAAAGAAAGTAGTGAAGTTTTCTAGTCTAACTGATGTGAGACAAACATATGAATAGTAACATTATATACGAAATAAATTAAGGTACTGTACCAAAACCTTTCTCTCTCTCTCTCACACACACACACACATATCTATAATATAAAATAAGATATGCTTCAATAAGTTCATTCGAGGGTTTCAAATAAACTGATCCAACGGTCATCAACATCTCTATCAAAATCATTTAAATTGAATTTTCTCTCGAAATCTATCACTTCTCACTTGTATTGTATCATGTCAGACATAAATTACCCCTAATATGTATATATACATATATATATATATATATTGTGGGACCTGCCAGCAAAACGTTCATAGTCAATTCATGAGAGAGAGGGGAGAGAGAGATATAGTGTTTTGAATCCTCCTGTGAACAATCAATATCATCTTACCTGTTCTAATAAAATACAGCTACTCACAAACTTATTATGTGGTGCAAGGAACGTGCTATGGAGAGAGAGAGAGAGAGAGATTTGAATTTTGTAGAATGGTTGAAGAATTCAGCTAAAAGAAAGGCACATCCACATGTAACAAGCTTACAAGCAAAGGATAGAGAGAACCGTTGACATCCAAAAACTTGCAGGCACAAACAACCTCATTAAGAAACACATTGAAAAAGCGTTGTCTAATACTCAAATTAAACAACTTCGCCACCCTCTCTTTTTCTTAAAGTTCAGATACATCTTCCCTTAAATTAAAAGTCTCTCTCTCTC